CCCAGTCCAGTCCAAGGCCATAAATCTGATATTAGCCCATATGTCTGATACCAATCTATAAAGTCCTCTTCAGACTCAAGAAACACATGCAATGAAGCCAAATGCAGGAGGATCACAAGCCAGTGGGTAGAAAGTCTTTGGGTCTAATGGCATTGTAAGCATCTCAGTGTTGGCAGGGGTCTCTCTATGGCTTCTCTGGCTTCCGAGGACTGGTTGTGTCCATGTGGCTTGTCTTCTGCAATGTCTCCTAAGAAGTGGCAGAGAGAGAGAGAGGTGTCTTCCACCTCCAAGAAGGAAGTACCAGATTTCCCAGAATTCTCAGAAGGCCATGCCCGCAGAGGTCTCATAGGCTTTCTCCAGATTGACAGCCTAGACTCCACCCCTGTACTCTTAATCCTTAAATTGACACCAGATTAGATGACTACCACACACACTATTGCCATGCAGGTCAGAGAACAATAACTACAGTAGAATCCTTTGTTTGGAATGATTCTCATCCAAATCTTTACATGGCTGTCACTCCTCCCACAGCTTAAAACATAATACTTATCACCTTTTGAACCTTTAGCTGGATAAGCACCACGTTATATTAATTCATTTAATCCTTGTTTCCATCTGCCCATATAAAGCTGGTTAATCTTATTTTACAATGAGAGTACGAAAGTTTAGGCAGCCAATTTAATATGAAGGTAATGGTGCTTCCCTGGTAAAAATCTGGCCTTCTATGTGACAGACCAAGGTTTGATTCCTGGCTAATGCCCCTGATGTGCAGCAATGAGCCATTTGTCAGTAGAGGCTGTGTTGCTATGTGAGGCTGAAGCTAAATAGGTTTCAGTTAATCTTCACCTTGAAGTTTAAGACAAACGAGAAAGAAAACCCTGGTGATCTATTTCCAAAAAGCAGTCCATATGAACACACCAAACACACAGAAAGATGCTTAGGGTCATTACTCACCAGAGAGATACATATAAAAACTACAATGAGATACCATTTCATTTTCACTAGAATGGTTAAAAAAAACAAAAGCAGAAAATAACAGACTGTTGGTGAGGATGTGGGCAATTGGAAACCCTTGTCCATTGCGAGTGGGGATGCAAAATGGTACTGCATTGGGTAAAGCAGTATGGCGGTACTTCAAATATCTAAAAAGAGGATCAACTGAGAGTTAAAAAGAGACTTGTACACCAATGTTCAATAAGACACTAATCACAAGAGCTAAAGGGTAGAACTTAAATAGCCATCAGATAAACAACATGGAGTACATAGATCCAAAGGAATAATCAGCCAGTAGGAGTAATGAAGTCTTGATACATACTACATACTTGATACATACATACATACTTCAAATAAGCATATATGGAGCATGAGAACATTTTACTGAGAGAAATAAGCCAATCGTAAAAGATTAAATATTATATGATCTCGCATATAAAATGACCAAAAAAGGCAAGTGACTAGAGACTAAAGTTTATTAGTGGTTACTAGGGTCAGAAGAGAGGGAGAAATAGGAGTTAACAATGATAGGAAAATTACATTGATTAAGGGTAGAGTAGCATAGCCAATTATTGTACTCACTGTCAATAAGTTGTACACTTCTAAAAAGTTGAACTGCCAAAAATTGTGTGCTAGACATGCTTAGAACAATGCCAAAAAAAATAAGAGCAGATGCTGAAGCTGCTATTTACAACCAAACACCTCACAGGATTTGGTTCCTTGGTTCAGAGCCACTGTTTTGGGAGGCATCTGAATTAACTGGTCTAACAATATGTTTGGTGCTCCTAGTGCATTGAATACTTGGGGTCTTAAAAGCTTGCAAGTGGCCATTCACGGTAAAACAGCCTATTCATCGGAAGCAACAGAGAAAGTAGAGTCAGGAATAGGAGAAAAACATGAACTGTATTGCTCATTGCCGCCATGAACAACTGCCTCCCTTTCCCATGAGACCAGAAGAATGAGATGCTGTCCAGCTAGCATAATGGAACATTCGGATCAGAGATTCCATAGAATCTGAATCAAAAGGAAGAAAACACAGAATTTCATATTCCATGGACTCGACTTTCTGGAGCCAGAGGGTGGATGAATCCCTGAAACTATTACCCTGAGATAATGCTTAAACTTTAAACCAAAATTATCTCCTGAAGTCATCTTAAAAATCAAACAACGGTTTAGCATAAATAAAACGGGTCTGCCTTGAGCACCATGCTTTAAGAAACAATCTAAGGGGATCAAATTGACAACGGCAACTCAAAACTATAGGCAGTAAACAGGGGCAGTGAGTTTATGTTAATGACAGGACTAACTCAGAAAAGAAGGTTGGAATTAATAATTACAACTCAAAAAATGTGAACAAGTCACTAAGTTAGCTATGTAGAAAACAGTTGAACTTGTATATGTTCTGTGTGTATTTTCAGCAACAAGTAAAATTTAGAAGAAAAGAAAAACCCTACAGATGCACAATGGTCTGATTCCCAATTCATCGTCGGTATGGTACGGAATGGGGCAGTATTTCCTTGTTAACTAGATCACCATTGAATCTGGGGCCACCTGGGCAGCAGAAACAGCCACTTTTAATTATCACAGATAGAAAAGGGTACTTTAGATTCTACTTGTTCAACTACACCCCAAACTGCTATCAAAATGCAGTGAGGAAATGTCCAATGAGAAGCCAAACAGCACAGAGAAAATGTTACCCTTAATTGTGGTCATAAGAACTAGAATCTTACTACCTAAAACTTTGGGCAAGTTCCTTAAATTATGTATGCTAAATTTCTTTGTCTACAGTGACCACAGTAACCTGTGTTTTAAGCATATTCCTTTTCTACACATAAAGATTTTAGTTTCTTTAGGAAGGCAGGAGAGGGAGAACGCCATAGCCAATATTTCTCACAAAATAGCGTATGTATTTCATACATAGCTTTGTTTCTTCTTTTAAAGAACTCTTTAAATCCCAATCCCTTCCCTATAAGCTTGCATATGTACTAAAAATAATTGTTACAATCTACAAATGACTCATAATCAAAGAACAGAAAGACTTTAGCACACCCTAAAAGAAGTTTACAAAGCAATGTTAGAACATAAACACTTACTACTTTAGGAATTTCATAATTTAGTTTTAACAATGTATTTTATTTTAATGCTTTATCAAATAGTCTCGTTAGAAAAGAGAGAAACCTCGGTTCAATGCTTTATTAGTGCAACGTCTAGCTTTAGGACAGAGAAAATGGCGAAATCATACAGAGCAGACACACTTCTGGGCATGGCAAATAATTATTGCCCTGTTTATGACAGGAAACTATGTTCATTTTAGTACTATTTTAATATGCAAATTTTAATATCATTCATAATAATTAGCACAACACTGAGCTTCTTTACATACTAGGTAAATATCCATTTACAGTTTACTAACTTTATGATCCAGAAACACAATAGGGGTTTAAAATATAATAAATACCTAAAACAGAATTTAGCATACTGGATGTCCTTATTACAAAGTTTTTGGGGTTTTTTTTTTTGTTTTAATAATGGAATAGGGCTTTAAAAAGTTAATTTCCTGAAGAAATCTGGTTTCTCCAAATATTTGTAATACATTTTTAATGCACTCTTTCTTATGTAATTTAGGTTAATTTCAAAACCAAATGAAAAATGAAAGAATTAAAAATTGAAAAAAGATAATCATAAAGAAAAGGTTATGCAAGCATAAAGATTTTGCACATTATAGGCACTGAAAATTATCGATCAAAAATTGCATCCTTTCAGTATCACTGATACATTTAGTTTCCAATGCCTTTCGTCAAAGCATAAGCATAGAAGGAAAAAACAGGGCGAGGGGCACGTCAATCTCTGCTTCCTGAAAAACTATCCCGTTAGCACACTTGAAGATCCAAGTGTTAAATTCTGGAAAGCAAAAGTCCCTCTTTTTGAACTTGACAATTCCACCTGCAAGAACAAAGGGGCTATATTTTGACTCTCGATCATCTCCCCTGACTCCCCCCAAAAGTTGCTTTTCGAGCACCAACAATACGCATTTCAGAGTTCACAACCAGCTTCCCGGTTAATCAGAATCGGTATTCCTAGAGTGGATTAAAACTCTGCGGCCCCGCGAAGGGGCAAGGGGAAAGGATTCTGGATGGGCGACCAGGGAACGGCTTCAAATCTGAAACTAGCCTCGCCACAACCTGGGGGCGTGTCGGGCACGACGGCGACGTCACGCGTCGACCGAGCAGGCCATTCATAGCCGCGGGAGGCGCGGCAGCGGCACGGACCCCTCCGCGAAGACCGGGAGTCCGGGGTGGCTGGGGCTCTGGCCCGCGGTCCGCTATCCTCCACGGCCCCCCGCAGCCCCAGGGGAGGGGCTGCTCTCCCATCGCCCCGGGCCGGAAAGATGCCGTCGCTCGGGCCCGCCCCTCCCCGCTAGGGCCGGACCGAACCCTCCCTCACCAGTTGCTAGATGAGACTGCGCCTCTGGTCCCCGCGGGGTCGGCACCCGGCTGCGCAGGGATCCATCCTCAGTGACAGTGACACAAGACGCCGGAGAGCGCCAGCGGGGCTGTCCCCACAGCCACTCAGCTCCGGAGGCGGCTGCTGCTACAGCCGCGACTACGGGCACCGGGAAAGGGGGCGGGGCGACACGGGCCGCAGCGGGCGGCATGCGGGAATAAGACGGGCGTTGATTGGCTGGGGCCCGTGTATGCCTCGGGACGATTGGCTGGGGCCTCCCCAGAAGGCATCGCGTGGCAACACCTGAACCTTGGCCTTTGCCAAGCTCCCCAAGGCGCTGGATCCTGCCGGCCTTCCAGCGGGTAGCCGGCGCTGGCGAGAGCTGGAAAGGCTGCGGGCGATGTCTGTACGTCTACAGCGAGGGCTGCTTTCGGGGTGTGTGTACAGTCGCGGCAGGTGACCAGGAAAGGTTAACCCTCAATGGAGAAGGTCGAGGGGGATCGGCTTGGTTACCCTCGGGTGCTTAATCCCCAACGCAGCAGAAGCCAAAAGTAGGCTTCTTCCACGAATAAGTACCGCCCCACCTTAGCCCATGCACTGGGGTCAGTGATAAACCAAAGGCATCTTCTCGGAGCCGCGCCCTTGCCCCTCCCGGGCACACTGTATGACACACCGATTATCCAGGACTCACGTCCTTGATCAGAAGGCATCACTGCCTTCTTAGATCGCCACCACTGGACCAGCTGCTGCGCTTTCAGGCCACTGCCTGACGCCATTTATTCAAATACTAGTATTGTAAGTCTGGGAACCAGCTGTAGGGGTCAGAAGTTGGTTTTACTGTGCTGCCACGTTGGTAGTTGGACACGTTACTTAGTCTAGGCGTTAGACTAGAAGCCTCCTTAGAGATTATTACTGTTGGTAACCTTTATATGTGAAGATAAGTTACTAGCTCAAAGCCACATACTGTTAGTGAAGGAAGGGTAAAGTCTTTGGCTTCCCTTTCCCAGTATATTGCTCTCTTCCTTTGTCCGTTTTTCTAGGTGTCCTACTTTCTATTTTAACATGTAACAAAGGCCTGTTTGTTTTCTGGAAAACATAAGAATATATATATTTTTTTAAATAAGCTATATGCAATACCTTTTATATCTGCCACTAAGTGATGGCTGGTGAAGCTAATCAAGTAAATGCATTGATCTAAGTGCAGATTTTATATTTGTCTTTCGTTTCTGGGCAAGTTCGTTGACTTCTGAAGCTTCAATGTCCTCATTTTAGAAATAGGGGCAGTGATACATTTTAGAATTGTGAAAATGTAATGATGTTGCTAGAGAAATACCATCAAGCAGAATGCCTAGTTTATAGTAACAGTAAATAATGAACTTTACTTTTTAAAAATAAGTATTTATTTAGCTAAATTGTAAGGAAAGCCCTAATAGAGAATTTTAACCTTTGGAAAAGAAACCCAACACACTGCCTCACCCTATGTTCCTGGAACGTACCCATCTGGGCCCCCCCTTACTCCCCATCTGCCATAGAAGTCCCTGCCTATTCAGGTTCCCTGACCTCACCCACCAGACATTCAGGGCCCAGATCTTGAGGAATGCTAGTTCCATTGAGTCAGCTAATAAATATTTCTTCTTTCAAGTTCTCCAAGAATCATTCCCAAGTCACAGTTTTGCTGTTGCAAAATAATTCCAGCAATCATTCATTCTTTTAAAACGATATATTAATTGTCAAGTGCTAGGCAATTAGTAGTGATAGTAAGCACTGGAGATCCAATAATGAACAAAAAGAGACATAGTCCCAGATAATCCCCGACATCACTATAAAATTGCATTTCACAAATACTGCAGAGAAGAATATCATGCTAGACTTAATCTGGCTTCCCAAAGAAGTGACACTCGAACTAAAATCTGAAGAATAATACAAATTAAATAGATGAAGTAGCATGGAGGAAAGTTTTCCCTACACAGGGATGTGGAACTGTGCTTTTAAGTATAAAACTCTAAGTGCTTCCAAAGATAGCAATTACTTGAAGAAAAGAAAGCTGAAATACTTTGGAAGCACCAAAGTGGGTTTGAACTGCCAACCTTGTGGTTAGCAGCCTAATATGCCACCATCAGAGTTCCTTCTCAAGATATATAGGGGTAAGGAATACCAATGACTGGGTCAAGGATATTAGACCTTGTGTGGTTGCAATGGATAGAAACCCAAACTTGATTAACTTCTGAAAGAATTGTTACTATCAGGTTGTTAGCAAAGCAAGTGTCTGAGAAATGACTGGAACTTTACTGTTTGTCCATATGCTCTTCTGCACCACACTGTCTTCCACATGAAAAATTGGATGGATGGTGACAACTCTCAGGCACATACCTCTGCTTTGCTCTTAACCACTATTGCAATGTTGCATATACATGTGCTGGTATATGTGGGAGACAGAAGGATTTCTCCCAAGTTGTCTCCACCAAATACATGCCAAACTTAGCTGCTTGTGAATGACTGTACACTTGGAGGTCAACAAGTAGGTCAGGGGTTATTCTCCCTAAGGGTTATCAGCCATCTGGAGCAAGTAGTCACCACTGTTTATCCCACAACAAGTAGGACCCACTCCCTTCTGATAAGGACATTAGTTGTCTGTTTCCTTGTAGGAGAACCCCCCCACACACAAGGGTGACCAAGGTTAGGCCGCCATCATGAATCTAGGGTCCGCCCTTCTTTTTTTTTAAATAATTTTATTAGGGCCTCATACAACTCTTAACACATTCCATACATACATCAATTGTGTAAAGCG